GTCAAACCTCTCAATCTTTATGAGTTTTAACAGTATTCGAAAGAGGAAACCATCGATAGCCTTAATATTGAGTGGTTGCTGCTGGCACTTGCTACCATTCGGCGCGCTAGTTCCGACACCTCCACTCTTGTAGTGAATGAATACAGTGGAGGGTTTGATTTGGTTAACAAAGCTGCTGAAGTACTGTTTAGTTTTTGGGAAAGTAAAACTTCACCGTCTGTTTCCTGGAAAATTCATTTCTCATTGGTTGTCTCTCCCTCCTGGCGTGCCACAGCATTTAACTCATTGAATTACACTGCAACTTCATCGTTATTTCCCCCTTCCAAAGCGGTATTCGGCATATGAAGCAGAAATCAGCAGCAGTTTTTTACGGAAAAACTTGTATTTTTTAGAATGTTGCAAAAATTGTTATTGTTATGGATATTCGGATGCTGGTATCAACAGGAGATCCGGTCTCAGCATGTCAATGTTACGATATTTACCGAATCGAAATGTAAATACTGCACAAAACTGCTGCGCGAACAAATCTGGCCATTTTATGTCCAGCGGCCAGGGATCATGAATATACAGGTTTTTCTTTTTTACGTTTCAAATTTGCTGCAATCTTTGCAGCGCTTTCTTTTGACAGTTAGAGAATGAAGAACATTTTTTTAAAAAATGAATGGCGTGCCGAACATATCGCAAGGCCGGCAAAAATTACGGACTTTGACCAGACTCTTGAAAAAAATTTATTAAAATATGTGCCATTTTTTTATGCGTTTTCTGCATCTATGCAATGCAGAAAACTTATATGAACGAGAGCTTCTCTGTATGCGCGCTGTGCGTCTGTACCGATTTTTCATCTAGAGACCCACAAAAGCTACAGGGGTGAAACTTTGCGAACTTAATCTACATGCGTGTACAGCCCATCCGCTCCAAAATGGGCTCTCTTACCCACGTGGTACGCACGTACGGGCCCGCTAAAGTTTTTTTTCGGGTAAGTTGCTAATTTGAGAACCTGAAAAGCTGGAAGACTGGGACTTTAAAGGGATGTTTTCGTTCACGTAGGTCCTAATGAGTTCAAACCTGACCTCTGGATATGCGTGGTTCCTATGTACGAGCCCGTGGAACCCAGGTATGTTGCTAACTCGGGGACCAGGAAAGTTAGAAAGCTGAAATTTTAAATAGACGCTTACTGACAGTCCTGGCGGCCAATCTCAATTCTCTTAGCAGGAAGCATTTGGCGGAAAAACAGGTGCCGATGGCAAAAAGAACCGTGGGGAACTGTGCAAAAAACGCAACTTCGCACTGACAATTGGTGCGTTGGCCAATTATTATAAAACTTTCGCTTGGACTGAGTTTTCAAAACGGCCTAAAGGATAATCAGCCCCCCTACAATTCGTTTATTCGTCATTGATGGTAAATTGGTACTGGTGTACGTTTGCCAAAGAGTGTCTGGTCTTCGGGTTAGCAGCTTTTCCGCCAAAAATTTTGCTTGCCAGTACAAAAACTCTGCTCGTGAGCGATCCGCGGAAACAGCAAACCTTGACAACTTTGTTAGCGGAGTTGCTGTTGGCGTTTAGGTTACTTCAAACTACTGGCACCTTTCATAAAGAGCAAATTACAAAAAAGGTTTTGCTGTTTAAAAAAATTCGGCATTATTTGTGTTTATAAAGTTTGCGCGTTACTTAAAAGAATGCACATTTTCCACAGATAATACCGTTCGGGAAAGGTGACTGTGATTATTTCCCGAATCAAACGTTCTATTGTCACTGTATGCACGGGCAAGATGAGTGTGATCTGAACAGACTACAGAATTGCGCCATCGCTGTA